CGTCAACCACTGATGAACAAGTTGTGTTTTTCAGTGACAGACGTCTTACTGTCCAGTAGATAGCTTAGTCAATAGGGATTTGTTTTGGTTCGGCCCATACTCTTTTAACAGAGATCTTGGGAATGAGCAAGCTGTCTGCAAGACGCGTCGCAAAAATGCTGACACCAGAAGCTGAAAGGGTTTATATTTCCATCGCAGATTAGTAACTGAAGATGAAACCTGGGTTCACCACTTCGAAACTGGATCAAAGATTCAAAACAAACAGTGGAAGCAGTTTGGTTATCCACCCGAATAATTTCAAGCAGACAGCCTGTGTTGGCAAAGTGATGTTTTCTTCTTTTTTTTTTAGGATTCTGAAGGCGTCGTAATCATGTTTACGCCTTCAGAACATAATGAAGATAAAAATAGTGCCAAAAAATGTCTTGTTTCTCCGACTCCTGAGTGAGGCTTAGAACTTTTTGAAAGTCCTTCGTACAAAGTATCTCTTGGGGAGATCATGTTGCAGGATGAACTGAATTGACTCTTCTGAATTGGTGCATTGCCCGTTAAAGTCGTGTCTGGAATCCTCTCCTCTCTCAGCAGTGTCGTTGGTGACACGCAGTTTGCCAGCAGCCTTTTGAGTTTCACAAGTGTAAAACTGATATATGGAAGCCCATAATAACAAATATTTGCTTTTTGTGCGTCCAGAAAAATTAAGTGAACCCTGATATTGAACTGTACCTGTTTCACATTCCAAACACTGCAGCGATAAGGACTACCCTCCCCCATATATATAAATATATATATATATATATATATATGGGCAGCATATCTTCATTCAAACATGTTTAATTAAATAATATAGACATATTATGTATTTATAATATAGATATATGTCTATGTATTTTATAATACTTTCTGGTCCTCTCATCAGCTTTTTGATATTACGGTGAAATACACCAAGGAAGACACCGTAGTTATTACGTACCCAATCAATTAAATCTTCTCCAAGATCATCCTCATAGGTGTATTGCAAAGACAAATTTATTGTACCTGTGATCGTTGTGATAGTGTTTGTTTTTGAAAACACATGTGAAGATCACTGTTATAATTATTTTAACTTTTAAATTTATCAGTTGTAGCTGTGGAGTTTTTTTTCAAAACAAGCGTCCTAATATAAGGAGCAAACAGAAAATATAGAAATGCTATATAGCATTAACTGTTCGTCAAATGCATTTTCAAAAGTTGCTGTTACACTCGTAATATATATATATATATATATATATATATATATATATATATATATAATAAAAACTTAAACACTGATATTCCATGGTCATAATTTATTCCATTGGAATCGTAAATGATCCAAATCATCAGACCTACAAATTCAAATTTTGAATTTGTAGGTCTGATGATTTGGATCCCGAAGTTTGGATTTATTCGAAATCCATTCTTGATCAAGCTGAGAATGTTTCAACACTGACTCATATATATTTAGACATTTTTTAATGTTTATACATTCTTTTTATAGACACAAATATTTAAGTAAATGCTCTGTTTATAATAAACAGTATTAAACATCATTTAACAGCCAGAATGTCTGAGAAATTGTCATAGAAAATATGCATCCTCCGACAGGAATCGAACCTGTATCCTATACAGAACCGTGATATAGCCTGACGTGCTTTTACCGATTTCGCCACAGAGGAGCGTTGCGGTTAAGCAAGGTTGATTTTACTGTTTTTAAACTACAAGTTTCCATGATTTTCTCTCATACATTGATTTCTGCTCAATGCGAATCCAAATGTAAACAAATGACGTCACACATTATGAAATGGACAAAGTCCGACAATTATTTTAAGACATTATATATATATATATATATATATATATATATTCTCAGGTCAATTTATTAGTTTTACTATTCTAATACCTGGATAGATCCTCTTTTACCTTTAGAATATATTAAATTAGTATTGATACGGAATCGACTATGTTTTTGAAGCATTCTTTCGCCATCTGGATTCATGATGTCTTTATGATATCCCTAAATTCTTCTCGATAATTGGCTGCCTATCACGGGTTCTAATCTCCCTTTTCACCACATTCCAAACGTGTGATTTCGATACGAAGACTTTGGAGAACACTTTAGCACAGAGAATCCAGTTCACTGTTCCATGTTCACTATTTTTGCTTTGTATCACGAAGTGTTATCCTTTGGTGGTAAATGTGCAGCGTATTCATAAATTGAATCACGTGGTTAACCGAAATACCAAATCAGGTTGTGGCATTTAAACGATCTTTTTTTCTACAAAGATTGTATACCAAGTAAAGAGTCCCTTTATCATTATAGTATCCGTCCGGACCATTGATATAAAGCGGGATGAGTTCATATTTTTCATGTGGTTTACGCCAAATTCTGGCCTATCTGAATGCTGTAACAGGAATAAAGACGCACCATTCCATGATTTTTTTTTCCATTCTGCTATTGTGCCATTATTGTGACCCTTAGAGAATTCTATCCCCTGCTTCTTATTGCTATCTGACAAGACTGACACCCGGTGTGAGCTTCAGAAACTGCTGTCGATTTGCTTCAAGTTTAGAAGTCTTAAGAGATTCTCGATTGCAATCCTCGCTAAAATTTTCAAAACTCTAAACAGAATCCTCTTTCGGGTACACCGTCGCATTCACCTTAATCTTGTCTACGATCTGAAATTACCCTTTCAACGGCGTCCGAGGTTTTGTAGTAGACGGGAAAAGCGGCGAACCTAATTCGTTGTGATTACCGGACAGATTTGGTGATCTGCACCGTCAACAAGACTGGGATGATCGAGATATTCAGTTCGGCTGGATACTTTCCGGACAAATCTGCTGATCTACTTCAGATCAGTTGTATCGCTTTCTACTAATTGCTGGCCACAAGGTTCAACCCGTGTTCTGGCTGTTGAAAGCCTTTCATAACGTGTATCACATTAAACGGATTCGCGTCAAGATTGAAGTGTCGACCATTGACTCATTATTGAAAGCCTTCTTAAACATTTGAATAGTTTCCAAAATCTCCAAGTTACAAGTGAAAGTTGAAGCATATTGCGTGTGAATACGATGATTACACACTACATTAAATTGCATCTCACTTCCAACAGAGCAACAGCAAATGAGAGGCACTTTTCCAACTATAGAGCTTGCATCAAGGCTGCGCAATATACTCTTGAGATATTAAAACATAAACATAATGGATAAATTACACATACGCACACACAAATACACGAACACAGGAATACACACGGACATACCGGTGCGATCGGTAAATTCTCGCCATTTTATATTTTTACTTTCTTGCATGTGCGTTGTTTTTGGTTTTGGCGACTTCACAGTATAGTAAGATCAGTTCGGCACCGTCTGTGAGAAAAACAGCACCATGACACAATTCACTCCGCCAGAAATTTGGAAACGGTATGATGTACTGCTTGGCATTCGCGCCGAAAGTTCCAATACGAACATTTCAGTGAGTTTGTGTGTAAATCTGAGGAGAGTTCAAATAATTCAGAAAGAGTTGGATGAGTCTTTATGAGTGATTACGAAGGTATAGAAGCTCAGAAAATTCACTCTGATCATTCTGATAACAAAAGAAATCCTAAATTTGTTGATGAGGGCCTCAGACTCAACCCGGAGGACTACATGAAGTGCCTTGAGAAGGTACTGTTGCTCTGGGTCAAGAGAGTAACTGCTGGAAGACCCTATGTCTGGTAACAGGATTCTGCACCATGCCACAAAAGCTGGAGTACTCCGTCATGTCAGCCAAATGTAAGAGGTGATGTGATGGCAAAAATTGACAATTTAACTCCCCAAACCGCAACCGTTGGAGATCGAGGTCGACTAGAGCTTTACTGGCCTCGCCTCTGCCGCGGTTACTTACCCTATCATTGTCGGAGGTGTCAGGATGACATTCGTGTTTTCTCCACAGCAAGCGATCTGGTCACGGACGTTCTAGCCAGTGATGCCGACAGTTCGCCGACACCCACCGATATTCGTAGTTACGCATCTGAGTGGCCCAGACTATAGTTTTCGATCTTCTTGCCCCTCGTACAAATCTTTAAACAGCACAGTTTTTGTTAAGACGCAACACCTTGAACGAGTAATCATTCGGCTAGTCTGTCAGTGAAGAGTGCTGCCAGCCGAGAGAACTGATGCGAATGGCAGGATTCATTGAATGAACATCGGCACATCAAACGCACTTTGCGGTATCAAAATCTCTTGTCTCGGGGCGCTGTCCGGTAGAAAGGCGAAAAATTGCTAATCTCACAGTCATCGCGTTCTTTTTTTTTTTCTCACGTGGTTGAAAAACGAGACTTCGCATGAGAGATCGTTCCCCTTCGTCTCCCACTTTCAAATGGTCGCCTCCACCACGACTGCGAGCAGTTATTAATTGAAAGAAAATGGCGGTAACGTTGTTTGGAGCGATAGCACGTTGAAACACGATGCCTGCCTATATTTTATCCATGGCCGCCGGCCAACACGTTACGCGCAGGACGACCCGCTCGTTTCGCTCGCGTTTTGGTATTAACAGAGCCACCCGAGTGGAAGCTAACGATCGCTGAACTGAATCAAAGCCTCTGGAATCACCGGCATTGAATGTGGGTGTGGATTTGAGGCAAGCTTTCTGCTATGTTGCCGCAAAGAGTTCTAAAAAGACGCCTCTGATCACATTCTTTAAGGACCCATGGTTAGACACTACGCTATCAACGGTGGTTAGTAAGTTTCCATCAGGTATTCCTGGTATGCACGCGACATCGTCGATTAAGAAATGGCAAATGTCTTCACAATTTAAGAAATGGAATATTCCATCCGCCTGGTGTCTATTATTATGTTCTGTTCAAATACCGATAATTCGCATTTTCTGGCCGTATGCAACACAGCCGACCTTCACACTTCCTCGGCAAATGTCAGTGTACAATAGACAGTTCCATGACATCAAAGTACAGTGACACAGTCAACCATTACCTTTCCATATTGCTACTTCATAACTTGTATGCAGATAGATAGATAGATAGATAGATAGGAAAAAGAGAAAATGGACAGACTGAGATAGATAGATAGGGAAAAAGAGAAAATGGACAGACTGAAATAGATAGATAGGGAAAAAGAGAAAATGTACAGACTGAAATAGATAGATAGGGAAAAAGAGAAAATGGACAGACTGAGATAGATAGATAGATAGGCATAAAGAGAAGAATGGACAGACTGAGATAGATAGATAGATAGGCATAAAGAGAAGAATGGACAGACTGAGATAGATAGATAGATAGGCATAAAGAGAAGAATGGACAGACTGAGATAGATAGATAGATAGGCATAAAGAGAAGAATGGACAGACTGAGATAGATAGATAGATAGGCATAAAGAGAAGAATGGACAGACTGAGATAGATAGATAGATAGGCATAAAGAGAAGAATGGACAGACTGAGATAGATAGATAGATAGGCATAAAGAGAAGAATGGACAGACTGAGATAGATAGATAGATAGATAGATAGATAGGGATAAAGAGAAAAGAAATGGACAGACTGAGATAGATAGATAGATAGATAGATAGATAGGGATAAAGAGAAAAGAAATGGACAGACTGAGATAGATAGATAGACAGGGATAAAGAGAAAATGGACAGACTTAGATAGATAGATAGATAAAGTAATTATTTATTAGCAGATATATATATATATATATATATATATATATATATATATATATATATATATATATATATATGTAAGCAAATATATGGATATAAATCCGACAGTATGAAAGAAAAATACAAAAAAAAACAAAATTCTGAATATGCATTATTAATGTTAAAATAAAGTCGACGTCGGACGTTTCGGTCTATTTAAGACCATCTTCATGGACATTTTCATTTAAACATAATTAACATTATAACTTATAACAATTTAACACAAAAAAGACGATGGACATAAGATTTATATCCATATATTAATACATACTGTCTACTGAAAATATACAAACCTGAATTTTACTTTATAACGTGGAAGATTTCAAGCTTGGGAGAGGGAATCTATTGATCAAGTAAAGAATGGAATTTTTATCGAACTGTTTTTTAGAACTGTTCCATCGTTTTTAAAATCACTTTTTGGATTTACATTGTAACGGGAAAGACTTTCAAACTTGTTGAGGATATAAGAACCAATTGATCACTACGTATTCCAACATCAACGGAAGAGATTTCTTTAATTGTTTATAAAATTTTTCATTTCGATTTTTGATATTTTAATTTTTGGAAATCATCTTCGAATACGTTTAACAACATCGCCCACGTGACGACTACGTGATCATATTTAAACAGAACGCTGATCTGTATAAAATTTCAGTTATCTGTCTGAATTAGTTGGGCTCTTATGTCCATCGTCTTTTGTGTTAAATTGTTATAAGTTATAATGTTAATTATGTTTAAATGAAAATGTCCATGAAGATGGTCTTAAATAGACCGAAACGTCCGACGTCGACTTTATTTTAACATTAATAATGCATATTCAGAATTTTGTTTTTTTTTTCTGTATTTTTCTTTCATATATATATATATAGACAGATGAAAAAGATCATGAGAGGGATGAATAATGTGGAGGAGATAGATAGATATACAGACTGAATAGATAGATAGATAGAACGCGCTCATATAGAAAGGTATGGTGGTATGGATAATGAATTGTTATAGATGAAGAAAATGTCACACAAAAAAGAAAGTAAAAGTGAAAATAACAGTAAGAAATGCGCTGAACAATAATTGTCCATCTTTCAGTAAAACATAAATCTACGGTAAATGATCCCAATGGCCATTTCTGAAATAATAATTCATATACTTAATGGAATGTCCCGAGCTAGAAAAAAAAAAGCTCTCCATCAATCATAGTTCATGAAATATTGAAGGGTAAAGAGAGAAAAGAATATGTTTGCTTTTATCTAACATTGATACTGCCTTCTTGAATAAAACTGAAATATGATCTGCAAGCAAATCTAGTAAAATTAGAATAAAAGTGACATTCAAATCATGAGTCATTTTTCGTGTCTTCTTTCTGGTTTGATTCTTTCAGTTTCGGATAAAATCTCATGAATCAAATTAATTTCAACTTTAGAGATATAGCGTCAAATTTCTGCCCCGACCCTGGTTTCATTTCAAAGGCAAAGATTTTATGAAAAGATTTTGACTTTCAAATAAAGAGGAATCAATCTCTTTCTATGTTTCTCTCTCTCTCTCTCTCTCTCCCCGTATATATATATATATATATATATATATATATATAGGCTGGTGGAGGAGGAAAGAGAAAAGGGATTGAATTTAGCGTACGTCACATTCGATTGGTTCATCACGGTAAAGTGCACAATCTTATTTTTATTTATTTATTTTTTTCGAAAGAAAAGGAAACATTCTGTATTTGAAATTAAATTAATTGTTCACTCGCCAGTGTTTTACCATCGTCCGAGGAGAGACATTTATAGCGTCGAAACATAATTGGCATTGTGTAGTGATTTTTATTTTGTGTTTAATATCCTAAAATAAATATTTACCTCTACTCTGTGCGCTCTTTTAAATTAAATGCTACGGACAGTGGAATATATATATATATATATATATATATATATATATATATAAAATCTTATAAATATAAGAAGTATGTATACTTGTCTGAAAAGACCTTAGGTGTTTTGGCTTGTAAATGAACAAACCAATACCCAAGGGAAAAAAAGAAAGAAAGAAATAAGAACATGTAACTGAGGCGAAAACAATCGCCCAGAATCCAAGCTCAGAGTCCAAAAAAAAAAACCTCCGACACGAGTAAAATAAAAATAACTAAGCAAAGTGCTCAATACACTAAGCAAATCTTACTATGAACCTAAAGAGCCAGGTAAACCTACCTAGGTTTCACCTACGCGGATCGTCAGGGCACGGTGGCCCTCGACGATCCGCGTAGGTGAAACCTTACGTAGGTTTGCCTGGCTCTTTAGTTTCTTAGTTATATAACTGAGAGAGAGAGAGATTAAGACTAAATCAGTGTTCCTCAACCTTTTTCTTTTCAGAGTGCAATTGTCGAATAACTAAAACTCTGGGGGCGCACTTTAAATCTTAATAAGAAAAAATAAGTCCTGAAATTTGAAAATAATAAATAATAAGTCTCCTGAAATAAGAATTTATTTTTAAAAAGATTGCATTGCTTGGTGTCTCTAGCGTTCTCAAAATAGTTTTTTTTTTAATATAAAAATAAATCATATTTTTCTATCAAATTGGAGCACGCCTGGCCACCTTTCAGGGCATATTAGTTCGCGTGAATCCGTTGAGAAACGCTATACTAAACGGTCACAAGGATATATGCAGAAAGGCATCTCCACAAATACACACACACACACACGCATATATATATATATATATTACGCCACTCGATGTTGACTTCAGTGTTCACTTTATATATATATATATATATATATATATGCTGGCGGAAACTAGTCGAGGATTCTAATTGGAATAATAAAAAGGAAAGAATATTAATATACAACCCATTATTTTTAATATATTTTATTGTTCAAAACAAAATAAATATAACGTATCTTTAAACCATATTTGCATTATTTATATATATATATATATATATATATATATATATATATATATAATTTCTACCAATTTACAATAACTTTTAGCTAATTATATTATCATTGTCTCCAACCCCTTGCAACATTAATATCACATCATATAGACCCGTTATTAAATTAAACTACCCTCTCACCCCGAGCATATTAAATATAAATTAACCAATAAGGATTACAAATTTCTACCTGTTACATATACACAGTCACCAAAAAAACAAACAAATAACCAGCTTTAAATATAACAAATAAACCCCATTTTTTTTTTTTTCAAAAAATTTAAAAAAATAAATATAAATAATAATAATTTTTACCTATCATAATTTTACACAAACCCCACCACACGTATATATACATACATGCGAGGAAATATTTTTCAGCGAAAAATAAATAATATGACATGTATACATTCACGAGACATTAACGAGACATTTCCGCCACACTTCCAATGTTTAAATTTCAAATTTCAACAAATGCGTATGTATAGACATAACACCACCCGTATACATACATATGTCATATCCGAAACTGCTCACATATGTTTATATATGTATGAGTCCCGACGGACGACCAAGTATGTATATGTGTCTGCATACATCGATGTTTGCGTTAGTACGATGAATGACAAAACGACGAAATTTCCCCCACCACTTCCACAATAACACCAATACACGCAATCTACATAAACCCAAATTTTAAAAAAAATTAATCAGTTTGTCTGACGATCGCTAAAGCGTGAAACCCAGGGTCACAAACTCACATCTATCCAACCAAATATATATATATATATATCTCTGATATATATATATATTTATAATATGTTTGTGTGTCACATATAATATATAAATAATTATACATATATATATATTTATTTATATATATATATATATATATATATACACACACACACACAATTATATATATATATATATATATATATATATATATATACGTTTTGCTAAGAACTCTGGGAACACATTAATATTCTTTTTATATCCAGCTATATATATATATAAATAGCAGGGAAGACTAAATTGAATTTTGAAGATTTAAATTAATGTTGGTTTTTTTATGAAGGACAATATAATTCAAACATCTGCGACCATATCGTTGTTCACCAATGTCCCTATTTGCACCAGGTCTCTGTATTCGGCATCTTCAAAAGTGTAGATGGTCCTGCACCAAACCTTGACCACTTTAATCAAATCTGTAATTAGTTAATTGTCGGGCTATCGGTTTCCTGGGAATGAACAATAATTGACATCCTCTACGAAAATTCGACGGGAAGTCAAAATATATATATATATATACAAATTAATTAATTACATATCGAAAGACATTTTAGATAATTTAAATTAATAATCAAGAATAAAGTTCATGAGACTGTGATAATCAAGATTCCGTCAACTGCATCCCGGTATTTTATTGAGAGTTGATAGTTTGAGTAAGTCCAAGTGACGTTAGGTATAACGGTTAATGCGGATTTTAATAAAAAAAAAATGAATTTTAAATGCATATTAAATATTTTCTGGTTTTTTCAATATAGCGTCTTATTGCTGATAAAGATATTTTATTTAATTTCGGTTGTTTCTTTGGTATAATAATAGCTTCATGGATAGTCGTCGGCAGTGAAAAGTGCATCCGAGCATAACAAGGATCGTCATCGTTAGGATGGATCTCCTTATTAATATTAAATTCCTCTTGATGGCAGTGACGGGTATTGTTGTGCAGGCCCAGCTAAATCCGGAAGAGTCGTAAGAAAGAGTCATAGTGCAGTGTGGATGGTGGACGTGGCTGTGCGAGGTGAAGCCTCCTGATAGCATATCGAAGGTCCTCTTTTTATTCAGCCAAATTCAAATCGAAAGTCTGATAATTTACTACTCGGACGACTTACGCTAGAAAGGCCGATTTGTGGCAACGTTTCCAAGGTCTCAGGAACGATGATGGCCTGAGCCAGTGATATTTTCAAGTTTTGATGTTTTATTTATCTTTTTTTGCCTTGCATGTGTTTTGACTACAGAATGATATGTGGGAGACGAGTGGGGCGCATTCTGGACACGTGACATGTTTATACGGTTTGTTTTCTTATAGTGGGATGCAGGTTTAATTCCTAACAACATGCATAGTTTTTTCTTTAGTAAGACCTCTGTCCAAAAATTTGGTTGACATGCACTTCACTTTAAAAAACATGCACACATACAACACACACACACACATATATATATATATATATATATATATATATATATATATATATATATACGTTCTTTTTATAGATAGAAATATCTTAAGTAAATGCACTGTTATAAGTAAATATTTGTATCTATAAAACGAACGGGATAAACTTAAAAAATCATTTAAATAATTGACGGTTTGTCCATTTCAATAATATATATATATATATATATATATATATATATATATATATATATCAGTTTAGAGAAGACAGTGAGATCCGAATTATGCATGCAATTAATATAAACTCTGTTTGGTACACATATTTGAGGCGACAGGTTTGTTGTGAAATGCATTTGTTTCAATCATCTTTTTCAACGATTGCGTCCAGTTACTTCATTACTTCAATGTTCACTTGTGTTTGTGTGTGTGTTATATATATATATATATATATATATATATTTATATATGGTGCAGTTCAATATATTACAATGAATCATTCATACAAAAAGTATATTAGTAAATTTAATGATAAAATAAAAAAAACATCTTCTGCAAACAAATTTATTAAAGTTTTTAACCTACGAATTTTGGATGAATGTTATGATCCTTGTTTTTAATCTATTTCAAATATATGGTGCAGTTTATTGAGTTCAAATTTTTGTCTTTTTTGAAAATGTCATTTTCATCATTTTTTTCTTATTATATATATATATATATATATATATATAATATATATATATATATATATATATGAATGTTTTTCATACAAAAAGTAGATTAGTAAAGTTAATTGATATAAATGGCGAAAACAAATGTATTAAAGTTTTGCATTAACCTATGAATCACTAAAGTCTTCAA